CTGAAGATGCCATCTTGATCTGTTTGTAAATTACTTTGTATTTTATGCATGTACTGTACCTTGATTCATTATTTTTTTAGATTGATTTAAAATATATTCATCCATGATTCTAATAAAGAATTACAGGGGACGACTCAGTATGGTGTTGGGTGCACTTTTTGGGAGAACTGGGGTTTGACCTGAAGGTCTTTACGTTCTGGAAGCTAGTAAGCTTCTTGGAACAGGCTCTGAGAAGACGCTGAAGTGGAACTACCCCCAGAAAAGGAACTGAAAAAGTCGTGTAATGCAGTTGCCTTCACTCAGACCAGGCCGACAGCTTTTTGGCGCTTCTGCAGTTCACAGCCATGACAGTCTGGCAGCTTCAGGAAGCTTTTACGCTCTGAGAAGTTTGTGGGTTCGCTCTTGTCAAACCTCTGAATAGCTTTTACAGACCTGTTTGGTTTTTCCATGTTGCCACCAGTAAGAAAATCCTGTTTTACAGGACACTGCTGCCTTCTACAGCAAATCCTGCTGAAGAAGCGGTGCACAGGAGCCAGGCTGCCGGTGCGCGTTGTGCGTGGTGGCCCTGGCGGCGTCACCCACAGAGTGTGTGGGGCTGCGCTGGTGGCTCTGGGGACAGAGGCGACTCAGGGCCTTTTAGCGTTGCTGGAGGGTCTGAGGATGAGGTGTGAGACTGGGCCCTGGCTTACTGTAGGCACCGGTCTCACAGCACTTTCTCTGGCCAGACTGGAGCGTGTTTTGGAATTAATGAAATTACCAGGGCAGCCAAGTTCTAAATTTGTCAACTGGAAACGCGGGATGAGTTTCACTTCGCTTCCTTTTCCGATTCACGTAAGCAGGCAGCTCGACTCAGCTGTCACGTCAGCTTTGGATTTCGCACGGTTTTATGCAAGACACTTCCTTCTGCAGCAAATGCAAAGGTAACGGAGCCCAAATCGCTGTCAGAGGCCGAGGCCACCCCCGCCCCACGCAGCATTTGCACGTGTGCGCGTGCTTCTTCCTTTGCCTCGCAACAAGCAGGCCCGCGTCGGAGTCCTGGGCAGCTGTGAAATGGCTGCATGTGCGGTTAGACAAAGTAAGAGCTCTGTTTGGTTTTTTTTCCGCCAGAACTTTAAAATTACTAATCATAAACCAGGCCTTGCAAATGCTGTGCAAAACCTGATTTTGTACTTAGGAACGGCTGCAACATGGAACACAAAATTCTCATGCAATAGTTTGTAAAGCTTTCATAAGCTATCGACTTCTAAAGCAAAACCAGACGGCCTATGTACAGAGGTGCAACTTCTCACCTATTAAAGCCTTTGCCTCGCGTTCTGTGGCTTTGCACTGCTTTTCCTGACTAAGCACCGCGGTGCTGTGGCGGCAGCTCCCGCCTGGGTGACACTCCTGGGACAAGAAGGTCCTTCACAAAGTGCTTTGGGAGAGACGGTGCAAGACGTTTTTCCGTCGGAACGCTGGCCCGGCCGGGTGTTGTTCCCGTTCAGCTGCTGATGAATCATTCTCTTCCGCAGTTGGCGTTGCTGCTGGACTGGAGCGTCTCTTCTTTGCCAATAGGAGACAGCTGATGGTAACAGATACTGCTTTTGGGCCCCGAAATGAGCTTTCTGAGTTTCTGGGAACCCTGTATGATGCTGCATAAACCGGCTTTACTTGCCAAAAGCTTTTGCTGTCATTTACATACTTGAAAGTCCCAACCTAAACAATTACGAAGCTGTTCAGCGAGCATCAGTGGTTCTTGTATTTGATGGGAGTTGAGGTTCTGACTCTTAAGCAGAAAGGACATGGAGTTGTTCTGATTTAAAGACATTTTTATTAAGCTAGAATTACTTATCCTATCAGTTCAAACCTGATGAATTTCCAGACTCAAATAGCTTATTGAGTGTGGCTTGTCAAATAAGAAGATTACATGGTGGGCTTTAGTTAACAAGATTTTTAGTAATATGAAGCACAAATATTGAAAAAGCTTCAACATGTAGCAGTCTGCTGCGTTGCCTGGGCATCATTAATTCTGAAGGTGTTTCTGCCGCAAATCTGCGCTCGTGGTTTATTGATGAGGCTCCCTGGGAGCCGTCAGACCTGCTGAGACGGCTGCCGTGGGCCCGGGCTCATCGCTGCTGGGTGCAGTAGGGTAACTGCGCTGGCCCGTATCCTCCAGTGCCCGCCCGACGGCACGACGACCCGCTGGTGTCACTGAGCACTGTCACAACATGCACTGAAACGCATCGCCTGAAAATCAGAGAGAGACCTGGTGCTGGCACTCGCCCCAGATTGCTTTTGTAGGTGGGCGAGAGCGTGTCCGGCTGGATTTGTGCATCGCCGGGGTCTCTCACTCAGACCCGCTAAGGTTAAACTGCTGGGGAACGAGAGCTGCTGGAGGAGTTGTAAGACACACACGGAGCCAGTTAGGTTTTGTTTTAAAGCTGGGCCTTACTTTAAATTAACTCCAAATTACAGTTCGAATTACAGCGTTGTGTTTTCTGAGAAATCCTGCAACAGAGAAACCAGCTTCTGGCTCGTAAGCCTGACACCGGTGGGTTTTTTTCGTTGAGGTGGACAGCCCCTGTGTGGCCGCAATGGCCTGGAGGGCTCAGACCTGAACACGGGCTGCAAGTTTTAGTCTGCAAATGAGTACGTTTGAGAAATACACATTGAGAGAAATTAAATTTATTTTGTACAAGGTAGAATACCTTTGCGCAGTGAACAAATATATTACAAATCTGTCTTGCCTTAAAAAAGTATTGCCATTTTGGTGCCTATTTCCTAAACTAATGCTAATATACAAGAAGGTACTTCTTTTGTTTCTTTTCTGTTAAGCTCTATGCACATCGTTGCATTTGGTTTGAAAATCCAGCTTGGAAAAAAAAAAAACCAAACCTAAGCATATCTCTGCTCTCTGGAGTCTCATCGCAAACTTTACAGCAACGCACGCACAAACATTGGTCAGGCTGGCAGCTGAGGCTGCTTGGGCTGGGTGTCAAGGTAGGTCTCTAGCAAGAGTATTCCTTATCGAACTGCCTTTCTCTTGATATTTTTGAGGTAAGTCTTTCTATTCATGTACATAAAATATATTCCTACTGGCCCTACGAAATAATTGTCTACTTAGATCTCAAATAAGGCTTTCCTGGAAAATAAAATGACTATTGCTGATCAGTCATTGCCCCCATGCACACATGCAGCATTCATGTAACTACTTATGCATTATCCTGCAACATGAAAATCTGCTGCTCTGGCAGCCTGGGGGGCCTCTGGGCTCGGCTCGGCGGTCTCGCTGCAAAACTCTTGGTTTGCAGGGCGGGGTTCAGAGCCAACCCGACCACCCAGCGGGGTCCCGGCTCCTCCGGCAGCGCATCGCCGGGGCTCCCCACGCCCTGAGGCCAGCGTGTTGCGGCAGCGAGCGCAGGGTGCTGTGCAGGCCGCCAGCGGCTCCGTACCGGCGTGCCAGGGGCTTCGATCCCCAAGGCGAGGGCCGAGCCTGGCTGCGGGGACACGGGCTGGGTGCTCCGAGTGATCCGATGCCTGGTCTGACTCGGAGCCGGGATCGAGCTGCTGCCTCCGAGCTGGAAGGCTCCTCTTACCAGTCCCCTAGACCAGCAGGTTACACGAGTGATCATGCTTTGAGCAACTGATTGGTGCTGGTTTTGTTCTCTTCTACTTCCATCAGACTGGCAAATGTGCAACAGAATTTTTTTTATATTTAAGAGGCAATCAACTTGCTATTTCCATGTTTGCCTAATAAAATTACATACTTAGAATCAATACTATTTCATGCTCAAAATCTACAAGGAACTGCTTAACGGCAAGTATTCCACTTTCTAGGTCAATAAAGATTACAAAAAAAAAATCATGGTGGCTTAGTCCAAAACTTTACCACGGGCCAACCCCTTGATAATTACTTCACAAACAGCTGCTGAAAAAGAAAACCCAGTTTCAGCTCAATTTAATAACATTTCAGGTAGAATCATCAATGGATAAAGTTGCACTACACGGTAATGCACATCAAATTAAAGGGGGTCGTAAATGGCATGCTGTTAAGTGAGTCATAATGAGGCGGTTTGTAAAGATGGTCTAGAGAAGCCAACGTGTCTTAGCTTTAGGAAAGGAAACCAAACCAGGGTGAGTCTGTGCAAACCTGCAGCGTCCCAGGGCAGTAAGTGGAGGTCCATCAGTTTACACTGCCTGACAGATCTGGTGGATTTATCTAACAAAATGGAAGCTGTATAAGGAAAATTAAAGCCTGTCTGTGCCAATCAAAGTATTTTATAGCTTGTTAAAAGTGTGGTAAGCCGGGTGTGAGCCTCATTGTTGAAACTCAAGTCATCAGCAAAGATCAGTGGACATTTGCCAAGATGTTACATTTTAAAAACCGCACAGAACGTGTCTGTGTTAATATTCCTCTACTCAAATACCCTGGTACTGAATATAAAGATGAGCATCTCAGTGCTAATTACCAAGCATGATCTGCAGAAGTGGCGCATGGTGATGGCAGTAAATGAGGTTTCCAGACAGTGAAATGACAAGTTTCCCTGCTTTTGTTCAGAAAAATGTCCATTTCAATGACAAAGGTGTAAAATATGTTCCAGCGTATTCCTAGTCACCGTGTTCCTAACAGTAAAAGGTTTCTTGATGCAGTTGGTAGAAATGTACATCTGTAAGTCCTTCTACTTAGCATGTTTTTGTGTTTTATTTTACAACAAAGCCGGGGTTAGAATACACGCCACGGAGAGTTTTTGCCTGGAGCGGGTAGACACCTTCCTGGGGTGACGTACGCCAGTCATGCGTGGAGGAAGTTCTCGTTAGTTCCTGTTACCCATATAAAAATGTCTTTATAAATAACATCATGCAGCAGCAGTTGGCCCAAGCTGATGTTGTGTTACGTTAGGTCCTTGCGTAAGACAGTCTGAAGTCCCGTCAGCATCCTGCAGTGCAGAAAAGGATTGTCTTCTCTTTTGCTTCCTCAAAGTTTGTGTTTGCAGCCCAGTGCGCCAGTGAAGTTCATCCCTTTAAGACTGCTTGTCCCAAGATGGCCCGTGCGTCGGGCTGTGCCTTACGGGGAGGAGGTCATAGTGACTAGGAATGTGACTGTTCCTAGGCAGGTCGTATGGATTTTGGAGGTAACTGGCACTCCGACCACGGGCGTCTTGGACCACGCTGACAGTGGGCTCTGGGGAAGCAAGGAAAACTGGGTTACGGTAACTAGCAGCGCTCCCAAAACTAGTTACTCCTGTATTCTGTCACAAGCACAGAACTTCAGCTTCCCAAACCATCTTTTCCCCTCGCAGCTTTACTGGCAGCACACGGGGCAGCCCAGGGAGAAAACCACCAAACAGATCCAAGGGCAGTAGTTCCCAAAGCCCTGCAGATAATGTCTTCATAAGACCAACACTTCTGCGCTTTCAAATCTTGCAGCTGGACTTTGCGGCAGTTTAAAACAAGAGCGTAAAGAGGGGACGGCAGCTCTCCTCTGCCAGCGGCTGGAGGAGCAATTTGGTGCTGTACCACGCTCACATCCACCACCGTCACACAGGCCCCCACCCGGGACTTAGCTCCCCAAACAACACGCTAATGCCCAGGCCTTCTTCCCCCAGCCAGCGCCTCCCTGCGCCGTGCCAAGACCATTGCTACTTGTGTCAGGGGAAAAAACCCATCAGCATCTACATGAAACACCAGCTGTTGGACTAGACCTTCTGCTGCCCACCCCACTTACCAACTTCGTAGATGTTTTTATTGGCTGTCGATGAAGTTGGCATCTCTGAATATGGGGACTCCCTGTGACCAGGTGATTTCATTTCCACATAGCTGCTCTCGGAGTGTTTGCATGTTAAAATGGGGGGGTCTTTAATGGTGGCGTATGGGTTTTCACTGCTGTTCAGAGAACAAGTGCTGGAGCTGCACACAGATTCTTTCATATAATCTGCAAAACAAGAGCAGAGTGGGAGTGTTAGAGTTGTTAGCTTGCTTGGGTTAATTGCAACTGAACCTCTGCAGGAAGGGTGGGGGGACATATGGGCAGGGGTAAGGAAGATCCTTGAAGCATCCAGCACAGACACCCGACGCTTGTGCTCTGGGTGTGTCCAGACCATTGCATCCACCACTGACTAGCAGGAAAGAAATAACAACCTGCTCGATACCGAAGGTTTTCCTGTAAAAGGTTCTAGTTGTCATTTACTGCAATATTTAATTTGAGGTGGCAATCCTTTCCCTCCCTCCCCTAATTCCTAAGGAGCTATGTTTTAATCCCGCTCCGCCAGCCCTGCCGACCCGCAGACCCATGCACGCGGCCATGGCGAGTCGGCTCTGTAGGCAGGACCTTCTGCTGGTACTTGGCCTGCTGGGCCGGCTACAGGGTGAGTGTCCCGGGGCCTTTGGTCAACATCAATGCCGTACGTTTGAATGCAAAACATTTCCAGCGGGCATAGAACTGCATCAGTGCAGCGCATGCACATATGTCCCCTGAGAGCTCTGGTTTCTGGGACTGTCCAGCACCAGGAGAAACCGACTTCTTCATGTTCCCTCTGCCATTAAGACTGGGAGGAGGCTGCTCCTGCTAGTGGGGAGCGCTTGGGTTTCCGCACGGGGGACAAGCCTTCATCTGAGCCTCGCTTTTGCTTTGCTTTCCCCCCCCCCCCCCCCTTGCTGTAGACATCTACTGCTCCTCTCCGCTAGGCTGGAGAAAACAGGAGATGGTGACGGAGGAGGCGCTACGTGGGGAGAACAAGGTTGGCGTGAGAGTTGTAACCACCGGTCTCCCCTGTCGGTGACCTTGGCTGGAGTATGCCAGCCTGCTGCAAGGTACAGTGCCAGTCTTGCTTTAAAAATAAAATAAAAAAAAACAATAGAGAATAAATAGGTCTTAACATTGACATTCAAGAACGTGCCATTGCTGCTGTGTGCATCCTGCTGGGCAGTGCCATTAATTTAGAATTAGAGCGATGCAATGAAAGATGAGGCATTTTCTTGTGCTGGGTTACAGTACAAAGGCAGATCCTGGTATATATGAAATACTCCCGGTGAAATAGCGGGACTTGCAAAATAGCTGCAATCCCAGCTGCCCCCGCTATCTAGTATGGGAGACAAAAAGAGAAATTCAGGTTAAGAAATAGACAGACAACAAGATATCGCTTCTCCTTTACAAACCTCGTCTCCATGCCTATCCGCCCCGTCCTGCTAACTCACTTGTCAGGTCTGCTTCACTCTGTGGTGCAACGCTCCCTCCATCAGCTCTGGGGCTGTGTCTGTGGGTGTGTGTCCGTCAGCCCCCGGGCCCGGTGCCCTTCGTCTTGGCTCAGCTGGGGGATAGCGCTGAGCAGGCCTCCTGAGCAAGGTGTCAGGTCATGCCCTGCCGCCTGCAGCAAGCGATTGCATTTGTGTGCTCCAATTTCAGAGATATGAGCAAATCTTGAGAGTCCTCAGCTCTCAGGGTTAGTGAAACCAGCTTGGTAGGAAGCTCCGCTGCAAAGCAAACCAGCTGGACCATGCTGGGACCATCAGGGATGTGAGGGCTGGCAGAGGCCCCGGCACCAGTGCAATGTTTATTTAGTAATAAAATTAAGATACTCGTCATCTGACTTCAGCCTGGGTGAGATTAACAATGCCTTTGCTTCAAAGTGAAACACGTCTGTTTTGGTACATCACAGGAGACGGGAACCAAGGCGACACAAATGTTCCCCAGCTGCTGGCAGCAGGGTTTGGCCCTCCAGCTTTACCAACCCCACCCTGGTACAGGCAAGTCAGAGAAAAGCTGCCCTGTCCTGTCCTTTTAATGAGCGATGGAGCAACCCTGCAAGACCAAAGGCTTTTGTACATGAGCAAGCTCAATGTTATTAGCTTTTGCTATGTATTTGACTTAAATTAAGGTGCCACGCCGTCTAGAATCCGTTAGTATTTAAAGGGGAGGAGGCAGTAGACAAAGACTAACAAATCCTGTAATAAAATGAAAATCTTTAGTCTAAAAATACCTGTGCTATACGGACTGGGCCCCATTCTTCAGTCACTGGGAAGGTGTGCATGGGTGAACTGTCTCATGTGGGCAAGGAGCTGAAAACTCCCGGCGGTGCCCGAGCCGACAGCGGTGCAGGAACGCTCACTGCGTCAGGGACATGGCCCCGATGAGGAGGACAGGCTCAGCCCTGAGGCTTTTATTTCATTCTGAGAGGGCTCAGCATTACCTGCCATCAAGTTACAGCTGCTGGTGGCTACTGCAAGTACGTAGTGCTCGTTAGGAGAGCCTGGGCAGCTTTTGATAAGCCAGCATTAAATTTTGGGGCGAGAGCACAGGAAAACTTGCAAACTTGCTTCTCTGCCTCAAGCCATGCTGCTGAGCAGATGCTCATGGGAGCGAAAGGCAGGAGCTCGCCAAAGTGGGCAGGGTGAGTAGGTGCGTGCAGCTTTCGGACCCTGCGAGGACGAGAGGGCAAAGCGAGCTCCACATGTGAGCGTGAGGCTGCCGGCACCCTGAGAGTCCACTACAAAGCTCTCCCTATCGGCACCACGGCTGGAAGGCAACAAATCAAAACAGAGCTGGGTTTAAATTCATAAAATGTAGATTATAAAAGACTGCTGGCTACTGCAGCGAAAAAGGGGGAAGAGTGAGGAGCCCTGCTCCCGCTGTGCTGTAGCACATAGGTGAATGGCTGCGTGGGTCAGTGCTGGTTTATTTATAAGAGTGGGCACGGCAGAGCTGGCATAGGCAAAAATCCCAGCACAGCCTATATTTTATTAAGTCCAGCTCAGCGACTTTTATCTTCCTAAGCTAAAACTCCCCTGTACTGCTGCTAGCACTGACGCTACCCCCCCGGCAGGCATCCCTCAGGCTGTAGCCGCAGCACCGGCCCTCCCCTTCCCAGGGAAGCCCAGTGAAATACCGCTTGGGCTGCCCAGACTCATTTGGCCTTCCCCAGGAATTGCCTTTTCCCAGAAGACATTGAGAAACAGCATGCCTAAGAGCCGATTCCCGCTGACGTAAATGGGAACTCTATGTCTAGCTAGGGATTAGACCCTTCGCTCCAGATACGATATAATTTATGGAGCACCAGCGTATGTTTGGTAATGTGCTATACACCAGGGAGTCATTAGCCCACAAGACACATTATGTGCAAGATCAGAAAGAATTTAACTCTGAAGGATGTGGAAGCATCTGAGTTACTTTGTTGTTAAGGTAATTTGGGGATAACTAAAAAGTCTGGCATCAACTGCCAAATTTCATTTCATGACTTAATTTAACCCAGAACAAGCGTATTTAGAAATTCTCGGCCCATTCACCCTGCAGGCCATGTGTGAGCTCTGGCGATGCTGCCTCCTCATCCTCCCGTGTGCCCACGGGGTCGGGCTCTCGTGGAGGTGCAACGCTCAGCCCAGCCCGTGGCACTGCCACCAGCAGCCCTGGTACTTGCTGTAAGCACTTTATCAGCTGGACGCACTAGAGAAATATGGGGAATATGCTCTAATTTTGAAGTCCCTGTCTTCTGTGTTGCCTGGATACCAATCACCAGACCTTTGAAGGAGGTTTTATTTTTGTTACCAGGGACTGGAAATGTACTTGTCCCTCCCACAGACTGGGTTCCTCTCTTTTGCCCTGAATATCCTCTGGCATACTAATGACAAGCCTCGATACCTACTGCCACGGTTGAAGTGCTAAGGAAATATGATGTACACAGGTAAAACATGCTCTCCTACTATTTAATCACATTTATGGATGATGTTCAGTGTAGCGTGCCTTTCTGGCTTCTTTCATTAACCTGGCTAACCTTCGCTGCTGCTAGGACAGTAACAGAGCGATAGCTTAATGCTGCTTTTCAGAGTGTGACAGAGTTGTGGGGACACATTCCTGTACAACAAACAAACGAACCACACTGAACCAAGCCCCAAGTCCCTGAGTTAAGTGCATTAATGTTTTGAACTGCTGGGATTTTGCTGGGTATTGTGCAAAGCATAGGGTTTTTTTTCCTTAAAATATTAGTGCCTGAGGTCCCATTATTCCACCAGTGCATCAGCATTCATTTAAAAAAAAAAACACAAACAAAAACAAACCCTGAAAAATAGAAAAGGACTCAGATGCAAATAAAAGCTTGGAAATGGTATCACTGAACATCATGCACAGGAAAGAAACTGCTCTGAAACCTTGTGACTGTTCAACCACTGTCACCACGTGCCACGGGGCTCAGAGCTGCCCCGAAGGGTTCCTGCTGCTTCGCCAGCACAAGGAGCGGTCAGACACCGCGGCGTCAGCTGGGCTTCTTTGTGGGAGACCCTAGCAAACACAAACCGGCCATGCCTAACCCCCGGGCCTCCACCAGCGGCACAGCCACTGCATTGGCAGGTTGCAAAAGGGACATCCCTCTCCTGGCTGCCCTGCTCTGGGGACAGCCTCCAGCCAGGCCAGCGTGGCGCAGGGGCTGCGGAGCTGGGGGCCCTGGTCTCCTCGGAGGAGAACTGGAGGAAGCTGGTGGCAGACCAGGTCCACCACAGCCTGAACTTGGCCTCAAGCCATGGGACCCCCATGCCCCCTCCCGGCAGTGCATCCTGTGCACTGCTCTGGGCTGGGGTCAGGAGCACCAAACCTGATTTTCAACTACAGGGCAGGCTTTCTCTAGTTAGACCTAGCAGATGCTGATGGGAAAGGACATCATCTTTAAAGTGCATAAATGTATATAAACACAAAGCACCCGCCTGCCAAAGTCTTTTTGCTGACAGAATCCAATTGTTTGGGACTGGGAGTTTCTTTTATGTGAAGGACTCAGCTTAGCAGATGAAGGTGGCTCATCAGGGCTAACGCAAGGCCTGGCAGGGCAAGGAGCGCTGCGCACTGAGCATCGGGGACGTCACCCAGCTCCTTCTGGCAGGGCGTTCATCTGAGACTTAGAGTGCCCATGCTGCCACCAGAGCCCCAGGGCTGCCTGAACCCAGAAGCTGACCTTCAGACTGGGCTGTTGGAAACCTTTAGCCATCCAAAGGCAATCTGCTTCTGAAAAATCTCAGCTGCTAACTCCCTGCTTGTTCAGCTACTGAAAATCCCGGGGAAGTCAGGTGTGTTCCTGTGTCCCCGGCATCTGGCCCTTGCCAGCGCCAGCCATGCCGGTCTGCAGCAGCTGAGCAGACACAGAGAACACATCAGCTCTCCCAACATGGCTTCTAGGTCTGATTTTTCATTTTATAAGGAGATAAACATGTAAACAAAATGACTCAGATCCTAAATAATAAACAAAATATATAGCAGCAGCAAATACATTTCACAGTTCACTGTTACTGTAATTCTTTTTTTCTCATTCACACTGGTACCCCACTCTCTGTGTGACTGTGTCTATGGATGGGAATTCCTACTGTGTGCCTTTAAAGCAGCTTTTTAACTTTGTAAACACAGTAATTTAGTTTAATCTTGAAATTAATAGTTCCGAGTAAAAAGAACAACTAATAATACTATAGTAAGATTTTTTTTCTGAAAAAGGGAATCACTGAAGTAGCTGAAACCAGTGGATTAAGTCAAATACACATACATAACCCTTTTAATATTTTAAATTCATCTTTATCGAGAAAGACTTGGTCATGCATTATTGGTTTCCTTCAGTGATTCTGTGTGGTAAGGTGATGTTTTAGCAAATATTATAGCACTTTATTTTGTAAACAGCAGCTATGAAGTGGTTAGTGTTCTCTAGGCCTGGCTATAAGCTGATCATCATCTTTTATGTGGACTAGCTTTCAATATTCCTTGTTAGTTCAGATAAAGGTCTTGCTCTATAACACCTCGGCCATAGCAGACCAGTGGGCGTCTTGAAACCAGCTCTGTGTGAAGGTACCGTTTCTCCATTACTCAGCCAATACCAGCTCAAGGACATCACGGAAGGAGGCTGTGCAGAATTTACCTCCTCGGCTGATGGAGGGACATTCCCAGCTGGTGTGTACAGACACAACAGCCTTGAATTCAGATCAAGGACCTCAGCCTGAAACCTGCCTGTTCCCAATGAGACAGACTCCTTGCTCCATCTTCTGGACCCCAAGTTCGGTGTGCCAAACCCCAGCCCAATCAATCAGGAGCTTGTGGGGACCACTGTGCCAAGTGGTCTTGTAGTCCATACATAACCAGAATATTTTCAATATAAACCTGGTGGACAACTGAAATCTAAAATCATTGAGCCTTGTGCTCATGACTCATCTATGCTCCCTTTTTAGAACTGCCCTAGAGTCAATGCCCATTAATTGGTTCGTGCCAGCGTGACTGGTTAATGTACTGAGTGAGGTCTTTTCTCGAGCTCTGCTATAAATCTCTTTCAGCGAAGGCCACATAGCAGGGTCAGCTTGTTTTCTAGTGGCTTTGTTTAAGCTCAGGATAGCTAAAAGCCTTACAGAGCTGTTACTTAGCAGGCAAACGCACCAGTCTATCATCAGCAACTGCCACCAGAAAGCCCCTGTAGGATGGCTGACATGTCCTAAAAGAGCTTCCCCTGGCCAGACAGCTCCACCTGCACCTCCTGTCCCTGCAGCAAAGCCCTCCCTTTTTGTCTTATGCTGCTGGCTGAGGCCGGAGCCTACGGCCTTGTGAAGACTTGTGTCCATAATTCATGGGCCCCAGACATCTGGCTCGGAGTCAAGAGTGCTGCCAGCTGAGCCACACAGCGTATTTTGTACGCTCTGTCCCTTTCTGTCTCTGCATGACCACGCTCCCGGGTGCTCAGGTCTCCTATCTCACCTCTTCTACGACACCCTCCTCAAACTCTTTGCCAGGGTGACTGCAGGCACTGGATACCATACCTTTGAAGCTTTTTTCCATTATGTATGTGTTCTGACGTCTATCCATCCCACAAGCACCTGCATAAAAATGATATATAATGGAAAACAAATAAATATTTATGTAAATTGGATTGCTTTGACTACTGAGCAGCATATATTCTTTCCTGTAAATTGTACATCAAGGCCCTCATTTAGGGAGGCTCTTAAGCACATCCTCAGCTGTAAGCATGCACTCAGCTTCAGTGGGGATTCTGCGCACACCTAAAATTATGCATATGCTTAAGAGCTTCCCTGGAAGGGAGGGCTTTCCTCAAGCAGGGTACTGCTCATTACCAAGAACAGCTATCCATCAGGAGAACAGGAAAAAAAAAATCATCTGCCGATACGATCGTTACTGAAACACTAGGTTGGGTTAGTAAAAGAAGCCTAAAACACATCCTTTCAAATTTGAGTCTGCAGGTTAGGTTACATTACTCTGTGACTAATTTGAAGCTTTGTTTCATTAGTGGCCAGTATATTATTTAATTCACAGTCTTAGATTCTAAGATGTGTACAATCCTTCTAAATTACCTTATATGACTTTGCTTATAAATTTGCACAGTTCAGTAACTGGGGTGACAATAGTCCCTAAGTGGCTACAGCGGTCTGAAAATGCAGCAGCTGAGAGCAGAGAGCTGAGGGCAAAGAATTCTGCCTTATGCACCTCCATAAAGACTTGCTGCTCCTTACAGAGGCAGAGACAGAAGGGGATGGGAACCTTTTCCATTTTCACCACTGCAAATTATCCTAGATATCAATCAAAAGGAAAATCTAATATAAGCCTTTAAATCTTTTTAACTATAGAGTCTGATATTTGTTATTGACTAGCAAAATCAACACAAATTTAGTTACTGAGATAGAAATGTCCTTGTGGCTTATGGGATTCCCAATCAAGTAACTGAGTTATGCTGGTAAAAGAGCCCTGCAAACCGCATGTCCCAGAGGTCTCACAGCTTTTTGTCCTTGCATGTCCTCTGGTCTCTACAGAAAAAGCTGTCACCACCACCAGCAATGCTGTACCAGTCCCTTCTTCATAACAGCCTTGTTTTTTTGATAAATAAGGAAAAATCACTAAAGTAGACAATAAATGTGTTATGGCACACCAAAGACAAACCCCTTTGCTCTGATTCTCAGAGCCCCCATCCCTGAGCACAGGAAAAGGGCTGGCAGTACAGCGCTGGCTCTCTGTGATGGAGCTCTTGCCCTTCTGGCCAAGAGTGACCTCCCCAAACTGTTTGGGACCCCTCTGCTTTGTTTCCCACCACTCGTCCTGAGCCACTTCCCAGACTCACCCCCTGAAAGAAGATGCAGAGGGCAAGGCTGACTGGGTGGTTTGGACATAGTGGGGCAGCTCTTCCACCTAACGGTATTAGCTATGTGCTTTTTTCTCTCCTGTATTCTGCTAGGGCAGAGTCCTGAGCGAAGAGGATGGACCTAATTCATCCCTTGGCTCACAGCCACAGGGCTGGTGCTCCCCTTCCCAGCTGTGGTGCTCCCGAAGGTCATCCCTGGTGGTCACACATCCCCCTGCCAGGGCTGAGCAAGGAAAGTCTAGGTTTAAGTTCAAAGCTAAATTGTCTGCTAGGGTGAAATCAGAGTCTCGGCTGGAAATATTTTTCCACACCTCTTGGCTTTGAGAAAAATGCAAAGTCAGCTCTGAATTAAACTTTGTGGCTTGGCTTTGGTCCTCTGGAATAACTGCAGCTTTGAGTCACTCAAGATGTGCTGCAAATCACACTTTAGTCTCTGCTTTGAGGACTGCTGTTAAAAAACCATTACAGATAGATAAAACCATTTTTGTCTGCAGCCCACTGTGCCCAGCGCTCAGGCTAATGAGTAGGTGGTTTAGGACTTTCGACTTGCTTGGAATAGGAGCTGGAAGCTGAACTCTGCAATTGCTTAATGCAGACTGGACTAGAGCAAGAGAGATTAGTCACAGGGCAAACAATTCTGGTTCTGCAACAAAAGACAGCGAATAGAAAATGCAAAGACAAGCCATTCCTTGAATCTAGTAGGACTAGGCTGCATTGAACAGGCAGTGACACACAGCAAAGGTGACAAAGCTGCCTCTTCTTGGCACCACAGAGTCCCCAAACTGATCTCAAGCAGACGTCCATGAGAATTCTTGTGCAAATGTGCTCATCATCAGACTCCAACTCTATTTAACAGATACGATTATCTCTCTGACAAAGCCCGATGTTTGAAGCTCACAAGCAAATGTGCCAGCAGTAAAAACAGGCTTTGTTCTGCTCCTTGCATTTCCCAGCTGGAAAGAACACAAACCTGGCAACTGAAGTCCTGCAAAACAGGCAAAATACCTGCAGTCTGGTAAGATCCACTGTATGTGTATGTATACTTTTATATATATAGCATATATGCCTAGACATGCTTACACATACATAAGACTCATGGTTTTCTACACAATTTCTTCCTGTTGGGCACAAAGAGAGCCCCACTGATATCAGGAGGAACATACACATTGATTAGATAGGAGTTATGCTGGGTCCTCAGTTAAGACGAAATAGTTTTCCTTAGCCTCACGTATAGCAAACAGCCCCTGGCCATCCGACCTGCCCTCTTCCCAGGAAGCTGGTGCTGGGTCAGGCGGATTCACTCTCACGCTTCCTTGCCATGTTTGCTCCGTCTCCTTGATCTGTGCTGCCGCAGCAGTGTGTAGGACATGCATCTGAAATAAGGACCATGGTGGACTCTGAAATGGGCTGTTCCTTTGGCCCTGAGCCCCCTTGGTATGAACAGCCCTTTCTCTGCTCCCTCGGAGAACATCTTTCTTTCTTTCCTTTTCCAAATAAAACATCTGAGGAATGACTCCTGGCTGAGCAAAGGCCAGTGATGCAAATTGTGAGCAATCAAAAGGTGTTTTCCAAAGCTGTAAAAGTGCAGCCTGCAAGAGTGAGGAGAGCAAAGAGTGGTTAATTAAAGCACTCGTGCCTGTTACCTGTGGGATTGCATTTATGAGATACACAGGGAAACAGAAAGTGCGTGGTATTTCCAGAAAGCGTTCTGTTGATCCTCTTTTGGATACAGATACAGAGATACGTTGCTTGGAAGTGAGGAGCTGTGGTGCCAAGCACACCGAAAAGGGCTTGATACCACCAATCGGCTGAGCAGTAGTGCTCTGCTTCTGCTAGAAACAGCCTCCTGGCTTCTCCTGAGCTGCCAGCCGCTGCTCCTGAGTACGGCAGCATCTTCTTGGGAGCAGCTGCTTCTCCTGCTCTCCCTGAGCTGTGCGGTCAAAGGGGAGTCTAAGCCTGGATCCAGTATGGTATCGAGAAGCAAGGTTTTCTGCATCAGAAGAGGCCCCGAACCCTTACATCCAGTCTGAGCACAGCTATGACCCTGAAAAGTGATGGTATGCTGCAGTTCAAAATACAAAAGGTGTCAGCCTGGGACAGGTCTGGCCAGCATCCAACTTTGAGCAGTATGTGATCAGAAATGCATTTCATAGGTCAAAAAAAATAAAAAAAGAATTAAGAAAACTCCTTATGATTGCAGGTTTTAGAAGATGAGTGTCTGAGTTAATTTTCACATGAATATTCTTAAGATTTCCTTTCCCCCAGCTATAATTCGTATTTATGACACTTGCAATTTCTAACAAGCCTAAGGACATTTTTGTGAGCCTGACGCTC